CTTCCCTCCCTCCCTCCCTCCCTCCCTCCCTCCCTTCCTTCCTTCCTTCCTTCCTTCCTTTGCCATAGATTCTGTACCTGTAAAGTGGAGAATAGTAATACCCACCTTGCATGACTGTTATAAAGGATTAGAGAAAATAGACATTGCAAACTGTTGAACACGGGGCTCAGCTGCTAGTGGTGTCATCATCATCCTCATTCAGTTCTGTGGTTCTGGTTAATACTTACAGGTTTTGAAGTGAAAGATCATGCTCCGAAGCAAGAGACCACCAACAGCCTGCCAGCCCCTCCTCAGATGCCTCTGCCGGAGATCCCTCAGCCCTGGCTGGTGAGTTCAGATCCTACCATCTCAGCAGTCGTCACTGGAGGCCCGGGTTGTAGGGGCATCTGATAGAAGCCTGTTCCTGGGGAGCAGAGGCCTTGTTTTGCCTGAGGCACTCCTTTGAATGCCTTTTTAGGGCTGAGGAAACTGCTAGTAATAGCAATTGGTATACTCTAAGTGTAGCCTTCCATTAGGGAGCTGGTGTTTCTTTGCCAATCGCTGGAGCAACAGGTCCATGGAAATCTGTTCTTAAGTCAGATTAAAAAAAAAAGTCAGAGGACTTAGCAGGCAAAATCATGTGGGCAGAGCTTGAGGAATTGACCCTCTTTTGGAGTTAACTCTGAATTTGAATACGTCAGTCTGTAACTTTAATATTCATTGTTTTGCTTCTTCTGGGATTTAATATCAATTTTTTTTCAAGATAGAAAATGTGTACATATTCCAGGAATGTGTATTTTATTTGATTTTGTGCATTCAAAATTTGCTTTGTTTTCTTTTTCTGCTGTCTTTTTCAATCTGGAGACTCTCACATGTGCAGTTTCTCGTGTACCACTTAGCAATTTCTGCATTTTGCTGTTTTCTAATTTGCTTACTCAGGGAAAGTCGGCTTTTGTTCAAAGTTATGGCAAATGTGGTTACTTACCATTCTCTTTTTATGTTTGCCTTCAGTGTGAATCATTTAACTCTCTCTCCACCAGGATATGAGCTGTGGGAAGGCAGGACCATGTCTTATTTATCTTTGTCTCTACCTGGTCCCTACCATAGTGTCCAGTGTCTAGGAGGTACTCAATAATTATAGTTGTAGGAAGGGACAGAAGGAAATCAGCACTTGTTGGGTTCCTAATATATATCACAGATCATGATTGTTATTGTTGCACTTATAATTTTTTTTAATCCTCACAACTTGATCTCAAAGAACCCTTATTGACCTCAAAAAACACCTCTTATTATGTGAAGAGTATGCACACCCATTTTCCAGAAAAGGAAATTGAGGGTCAGTGAAGATGTGTGATTTTCTAAAGGTCATATAATAAGTAGGAAGGGCAAAAATCGTCACCTTGTTTTTGACTTCAAATCCAGCCTTTTCTCAGCAGTACTAGTTTGGAGGCATGGCAGCAAAGCAGACGTGAGCTCCTGGACTCACAGACGGGAGGACACAGTTTAGCGTGGAGGGGGCCCTGGAGTAGCAGGTGCATGCTCCGGGACAGGGCTGCCTGCTCTCCACCACCAGCTCTGCCTCTGACGTATGTGATTTTGGACAGGTTAGCACAACTTCTGTGTGTCTCAGGCACCTCAGGGTCATTGTGAAGATTAAGAGAGTTAATTTATCTCAAATGCTTAGGATATATGCCTTGCATATATTTAAGTATAGAAGTTATTACTGTTTAGAGCAGCACTTCTCAAACTTTAATGTCCAAATGAATCACCTAGGCATCTTGTTGAAATGCAGATTCTGATTCACTAGGTCTGGATAGGGCCTTAGATGCTACATTTCTAACCAGGTCACTGTGGAAAATGTGGAGGGAAAAAAAAAGAAACTAAAGAAGTAAATACAAGTTATCTATATTCCCTTCTTCCTAGGAGAGCCACTGTTCTCATTTGGGTGTATTTTCTTCTAGCCTGTGCTCTGCCTACCTGTGCTGTCCCACACAGGGGCTACTAGCCTTAAGTGGCTGTTGAGACCTTACAATGTGGCTAGTGCCAGTTGAATGTGATATAAATTTAAAATACACACTGGATTTGGGAGACTTAGTATCAAAAGAAGGATATAAAATATCTCAATAATTATTAAGTCCATAAAATGTTGAATTATAATATTTTAGATATATTGAGTTGAAGATATATTAATAAAATCAATTTATTCAGTTTCTATGGCTACTAGAAAAATTTAAATTGCATGTGTGGCTCACATGTGTACCTTGCATTATATTTCTGTCCCATACATTTTATGTTTTTACAGTTGCGAGCACATTGAATATTTTATTTTTATATGCTGTTTTTTCTTTTGTTAACATTATGTGTTATGTATTTTTCCTTCTTTATAAACTTCTTTTTAATCATTTTTCTCCTTTTAACTCTCATCCTGTTTGTTATAAAAATCTATGATTTGATTAGCTTTTATTTTTTTCATTGTCTCATTTGCTATTTTTAGATATAATGTGAAATTATAGACCAGAAATGTATAATTCAACAATATTAATCCTATTTACTGATAGGTTATTTACCTAAAAAACGAACTCGATGGGAAGTCAGTTCATTGCTTTCCTGGTCTTCGTCTTCTGGTTTGTCTTTGCTTTTCTTTCTAAGCTTGTCTTGAACCTGTGACTCTCCCGTGATGTGTCTCAGTATTCCGTATCTGTATTTTATCATCACATTTCAAGTAGGGAAAGGTGTTTTGAGATGAGGGTGAAATAAAAACCTCTAGAAGCAGCCAGAAGAGTTGCAGGTTATGTGAGTTCCATGGACTCTTCTCTAGTGCTACTAAAGTTCCATCCCAACATGTCACATCCTCATGTGCCAGCCAGATGGAGTGAATGTCAGTTTGGATGCCAGTTTTAGACAGCCCACTCATTGACTGGTCATCATTTTCTGCCATTTTTGACCATTGAATCATCAATCCATTTCTGTGTATTTATCCTCAAATGCAGTGTGTTGCTCATTAATTCATTTGTCCTCTCTCCCTCTCCTTCCTCTCGCTCTCTCCTGCTTATGCTGTGCCCCCGCCTTTGGCTGCAAAGTGGCCGTGACACACTGCCCTGGTCTGAGGGATGTGAGAAGCCCTCCTACTGGTAATCAGCACCGGTAGTTGGTTAATCAAAAATGTTGGTTAAAGTGAGAAAATTTTAAAAAGGTATGCTTATGCTTTAAATATTTTAAATTTAAACAGATAACATTTGAGTAACAGTTTGACCAATGGGTAATATCTTCCTACTGGTGCCTCATATGTGGGTATCAGGAGAGTTTTTCCTTCAGCATCCAAGCCATGTTGTCACGTGCTATGAGACTAAGTTTTTGGTGTAAGGCCAAGGGCTGCATTTTTTAATTATGGGGCTACTTGTTGGATTCTGCGTGTCTTTTCTGCATAATCTATACTCATGATTTTATTGTTAATAATCTCCAGTTTTTGTAACACAATCTGAGTTTAGGATCTCTAAAACTGTATGAATGTTGCCATGTTTTTTTATAGTTGACTTACCTACGCCTAATTAAGCTGCTTTTTTTCTTTTCAGTTTGTCTTGACTGAAGCTTTCTAAAGCATCTCAGATTTTTTAATAGGTTTATTTCTGTAAAAAGTGAATAATCATAGCAATAAGAAATTAAAGAAAAAAGCTGACTATCAGTAATAGGCAACTCAACTGGTGGGACTATTTCATTGGTGCTCTAGAGAAGAGCCTGTTGGCCATGAAAGTAGCATTTTGTGGACATTAGTCGGGATGTTTTACAGAGGGAATAGAGAACATCGTCAACTCAGTGAGTCCAGTCAGTGGAGCTTGGGTAAGATAGTGCCACTATATTTTTCTGGTAGTTTCTCAGTGAATTTGTCATTCAGCAAGTAAGCCAGTCATTCAGTAAGTTAAGTTTGCCTTTGGTGAATTGGCTTTTGGCCATTCGGTCATATTGGCAAGTTAGCTTTCAGGAGAACTCGCATGTAGTGGGGTAAAGATGGAATGGGCAGGAAACTGTGCTGGTGGAGGATGTACCATAAATTAAAGCATGAGCCAAAAAAGGGAGCCAGGAGTCCTGGGAGCGTTGCAAGTAGCTGTGCATTGCTGGATAATGGGATTTGAGGGTATTCTGCAGATGAGACTGGAAGACTCTGCAGGGGTTAAATTACCAAGGATATGTGGCCACGCAGAGAAGCTTGGAATTGATCATCAAAGCAATGGCAAACCATTAAAGGATTTTTTAAAGTGTGTGAGTTACTGTAGCTGGGAGTTATTTCTCATGCATCTTAACCATTCTCACAATTCGTCTTTACATCTTTTGTGGGGTGTGTCGAATTGAATACTGCCCATTTTCACAGTTATTTGTGTTTTAAACTCTTCAAGAAATAAGAATTATCTTTTACATTTTATCCCATTTAGTGCCTAACAGCGCTTTATGCAGTCATTACCTATCTCTTGACATTCTTTTAATTACACGAAATTTTAAGCTTTTGAAGGTGGTGTTTATTTTTCCCACATTGTATATGTAGTAAACACTGATGATGACTCAAGGCTGGGAACATGTCAAAAAGTCACTTTTGTAATGTTGATGATGCTTTTGTCAGTACAGGGATGAATGTTACTGTTTTGAATGTCACTGTTTTGTGTTAGAGTCAGTGTGCTAGGTGCCAGAGGTGTCTGGCGTGAACTGGTGATTCCTTCTACATGTCTCATACATCTTTGAAAGTGCTCATAAGAGTGTAGCTGTGTGTGTGATGTTGAAATTCAGAACTTCTCCTGACTCTTTGAAATCACAAACGTGGTATGTAGTGTGTTTAACAGTTTGCTCTGCTCCTTTGCGTTTCAAGGGGAGCCTGGAAGAGGCCAAAATATGCACATGTATAATAAAAACAATTCTGGGAAGAACTGTGGCTTTCAAAAGGTCTTTGTTTTTGTTTCATACTGAGAGCTGTGAAGCTATCAAACTGATAGTGCTTAGTCGGCAGCAAGTGCCGGAAAGAGACCTTAAAGAGGCGCGCCCTGACCCCTGGGAAATGGATCCCATCTGTGTTGATGCTGGCTGCCTGGGACCCGCTGCCCAGCTCTGGAGCAGCAATTTCACTGAAGGGGTCTGGTGCAGGCAAGCCCTGTGGGTGCTTCATTGCTTCATTTCCTCCTCTTGTTCTTCAGAATAGCACCAAGTCTGAAAGCAGGACTATCTCAGATCTTTGTGACAGAGATGAAAAAGAGTAAGGGAGACTCCTTTTGGGGCTGTAGGACAATATAACACCTGATCAAGCCATTTTCTAGAAATATTTTTATTCAGTAACTTAAACAGCATGGGGTTACATCATGTTTCGA